TTTTTTTGAGACAGAGTCTTGCTCTGTCGCCAGGCGCTAGGCTGGTGCAGTGGCGCGATCTTGGCTCACTGCGACCTCTGCTTCCCAGGTTCAAGCAATTCTCCTGCCTCAGCCTTCTGAGCAGCTGGGACCACAGGTGCGAGCCACCACACCCAGCTGATTTTTGTATTTTTTAGTGGAGACGGGGTTTCACCACGGTCTCGATCTCTTGACCTCATGATCCGCCCACTTTGGCCTCCCAAAGTGCTGAGATTACAGGCATGAGCCACCACGCCTAGCCTAATTATTCATTTCCTACTGGATTACATTATTGCTAAAATCTGAAACTTGTTGGTGCTTGCTTTATGGCTTCTGTGTGAACAATTTTTTTGTAATGTTCCACGTGTTCTTGAGAGGACTATATATTCTCTAATTGTTGGGTACAGCATCCTATTTACATCTTTTAGGTCAAGTATGTTGATTGTGATTTTAAATTTTACATATTTACCGTTCTTTTGTCAGCTTCAGCTACCAATTATGGAGAGATATATATTGAAATGTTCCACTATAATGATGGATTTGTTACTTTTAATCTGCAATTTTATCACTTTATTGTTTTGTACATTTTGAGTCCCTATTTGGTGCATGCACTTTTTTGAATTTTTACTTGTTTCTCTTGAGAAGAGCCCTTACCATGGTAACACATTTTGTTTGAAAAAATGTATGCTGCTTAAGGTCATTTTTTTCCTGAAGTGATATATTTAACCCTGTTTTCACTGGTTCATTGTGATCGTACGTATTTTTTCTTCTTTTACTTTCAACTTTATCAACTTTCATCCTTTTACTTTAGATCTTGCCGTGTACTCATTTTAAAACTTTATTTTGTGACTAGCATATAGCTCGATGTTTTCCCACCCAATCTGACTATCTGTATCCCTTGGCTGGACAACTGAAATTATTTTCATTTATTTTTATTAGTAATCCATTTAAATTTGTGTTTCTTACATTACTTCGTAGTTTTCTGTATCCTGACTTTTCTGTGTTTCTTTCTGTTTGTGCAAATTTGAATTTGTTTATTTTCTTATTCTATCTTTCCTTCCACTTATTCGGACTGCCTATTTTTGCAGTGGCTACACTTGAAATATTACTATGTATTTGGACCCCAACAACTATTTGGACTTACCAAAGTCCAAAGTTAGTCTTATCCTGATGTCTTTCAAAACCGTATACAAACTTAAAATATTTGCTATTCTGAGAACCAGTCTCCAAAACACCTTTTATTTTTGTTCATTATTTTAGTTTTTAATCTAATCACAACAGACATTAGCAACATTATAATTGCATGAAATGTTTGTTTAAATTTGCATACATGTTTTCCAGTTTCATTTTTTTCATTTTCTCCTGTATTGGGCAGCTTTCTCATTTTCTGAAATACATACAAGTTTCATTAGTGAAAGTCTGCTGACTAGACTATATCAGGGTTTGCTTATTTAAACATGTCCTTATTTCATCCTCATTCTTAAAGGATACTTTGCTGAATGTCCTGTTTTAGGTTGATGGTTGTATACGTTAGCATTCAGATGGCATTCTTTCACGATCTTCCAGCTTTCACTACTATTTTTGAGAACCTTCTCTTTTTAATTGTTTTTCTGTGAGTGATTTGCATTTTTCCTCTCTGTGCCTTATAATCCTTTATTTTGTTATTGGTATTCTGCTGTTTGATATTCTACAATACACCTAGGTGTAGATTTGGTTTTATCTATGATATTTGATATGAGTTTTGCATCCTCTTTCTGAAGATTATTGCCTTTCATCAGTCATGGAATATCATCAATCATTATCTTTTTTTTTTTTTTTTTTT